GTTATAGAGGTTATTATATAACTCCTTCATCTGTGCCAGAGCTTCTCTCTACTAATCATATATATTAATAATCTATAATAATCACATGAACAATACCCCCAAATATATTTCCCTAACAAACCTTACCAGTAATGGTTTAAATTGTTAGTTTAACACCACTCTTGCAAAGGAATTAAGGAACAAATGGGGGAAGACAGCAATGACAAAGAAACTTAAAAAAGTGGGGATGGGGTGCCCTGTGCTACAGGAAAGTTCAAGTTCAACAGAGGGCAGGCAGAGAGGAAATGTGAGAAATGAATTGATAGCTGGCCTGAGCACCCTCTTAAATGGAGGTTCTGAGAGGAGCTTTCCACTGTGCATCCTCAGCCTGTCCAGTCAGAGGGAGGGAGGGGCCTAGGGTCAGGGAGGAATGAGGAGGTGTGAGTTCCAGGGTTAATGTGATCTTGCAGGAAGATGCAGTTTATGAGGAGCATGATGAAGTCCAAAGGAGTGCAGCCAGTTGGGAAATGTGGGAAATGAACATTGACAGATTGGCATGCACACAGAAAAAGGAAATCAAGCTGTCGATACACCTTGAGATCATGACATAGGGAGACTGGTTGAAGAAAATGTAGAGGTGGGGACTTCTAAATATTTTCAAGTGTTAGAATGTCTGTCCTGTGGGAGAAGGATAAGATATGTTCTGTTCTATCCAAGACACAAGAACTTGGGGTAGGCAGTTCATGGAAGTTGCTAAGAGCCTAGATTAGGCTTGCTGTAAACAGAGACTTGCTGACAATTCAGATTGATGGAAAGGGGAATAGACTTCCTCAAAGGGTAGTGAGTATCTTTGACTAGAGATTTAGGAGGGAAAGCTGGATGATTTTGCTAGGGAAGTACTCACTTCCCTTGCCCCACTGTCCATGTTGCAAGGAGAAATGAAAAAAATTCTCTCATTAACATCTACTCCTGCTCTCTCTATGAAACTACACTACAAGCTCACCATCCTTCCTTCCACTTGGATGGAGTTTCCTATTTGCCCTCAGTCAGAAAGTCCTCAACATCCAGCTATATCATGTTGATATCCAGGAAAGTAATTTTGGTCCACTTCTAAGTGATGTCCTCTGTCAAAATGGGAGGGTCTTAAAATGAACTGTGTGTGAAATATGAAACCATTTCAGAGCTGTTCCTACATGCATGCATACACTCATAGCTCTGAAGAATATAATCAGAAAGACACTGGAGCAGGAACTTTCTTTAACCCAATGGATCAAGACCAATAGGCTATTTTATTTCCTCTGATGCCACTTTTGCATGATGTTGAAGGCAATGCATCTGAGCATCTGACCTGAAGAGTTGTTGCTGAGTGGGATGATTCTGGGAAACAGAAGCATTCTGGGAAATGAAATAAAAATGACCCTAACATTCTGTTTATTAGGTTCTGAGGAGAGAAAGTGTGTAAGTATAGTGTGCTTGTATGTAGGACTATAAGAACCTGTTCCTTACCGATTTCCCCTATCCCTGATGCAAACTTTTCCTTCTTTCCTCTTTCTTCTCTCCTCTCCCCAACTGCTTTCCTATTGAATTTTTATATATTTGTACAACAAACTCTGTGTGCATGTATTGGACCTTTTCTTTCCCAATTCAGAGATGAGATACATGAGATGTCCACATCCCCTCTTGATTTTTCATCTTGGTATACTTCTTTTCTCAATCACTCCTACTATGAGAAATAATAAGTTCCTACACACTTCTTACTCCATTTTTTCATTCCTTTTTCTTTTACCTCTTAAAAGTGACAAAATAGAACAAAACTATATCTAAGCCTTGCATTTGGCATTTTTTCAGGGAGTGCACTACTTAAGCAATGGTCTCCATCTTCTGTTCTATTCTATTCTCTTTCCAATTTATCCCCCACCCCCACCCACAGCAGCTCTAATTTCATTTTGCTTCATTTGCTCTGGCTTTATTTCTTTGGGTCATTCTTGTAGTCTTTATGGCCTAGCCATTCTTTTCCATGAGGTTTTGCCAATAAGAAAGAAGAAAGCAAGGAAAGAAGGAAGGAAGGAAGAAAGAAAAAAAGGAAGGAAGAAAGAAAGGAAAAAAGGAAGGAAGGAAGGATGGAAGGATAGAAGGAAGAATGGAATTATTAAGGACCAACAGTGAGCCTGACACTATGCTAAACACTTTAAAAATTTTATCTTATTTGATCCTCACCACTATTCTAGGAGGTAGGTGCTATTGTCATGATCTTCTTACATTTGAGGAAACTATGGCAGCTAGGGACAGTTAGGTATCACAGTGGATAGTGCTGTGCCTGGAGTCAGGAAGACTCATTTTCCTAAGTTCAAATCTGGCCTCAGACACTTACTAGTTGTGTGCCCCAGATGAATTACCTAACCCTATTTGCATCCATTTCCTCATCTGTAAAATGAGCTAGCTGGAGAAGGTAAGGGCAAATCACTCCAATATCTTTGCCAAGAAACTCTGAATGAAGTCACAAAAAGTTGGAAATGACTGAAACAACTGAACAACAAAAAGGCACACAAATGGTAAATGATGTGCCCAGGGTCACACATATAGTATCTGGCACCATATTTGAACTCAGGACTTTCTGATTCTAGGCCCAGTGCTGTATCTACTTCACCATCTAGGTGCCTTATATTTTTGTGATGGTATTCTCTTCTTCTGGGTTCAACTCTTGGGGTTCTCTTAACTCATAGTATTTCTTCATTATATTCAGACCTGTCTTCCATTTACTCATATCTACAGCCTCAGTTCCTGGATTGTGATTTTGTACCAGGACCAGGCTCTGTTCCCTCTTGTACTCTTGCATAAGGTGGGCAGGCCATTTGTTCCTTTTCCCTCTGTAGTCTGGATGCTGCTGTCATTGTCCTACAATTATGGATGGGATAACTGAGAACAAATCCACCTTCTGCTGTAATCACTGGCTTCTGCCTCCATTTTTATAGTCTCAAGGTAGGTATTGACCCAGGCTCTATCACTCTTTCCTTCTCCTTCTGCAGTTGTCAACTGGTACTCTTTCACTTGTGGCCCTGAAAGGCCCCAGTGACATGTTAGAGATTGTGCTGCTTTCAGCGTTCCTGGAAACTTCCTTCCCTCCCATGAACCCCCAATATGCTTGGGCTACCTGGGTACTGCCCTGGTCCTATTTCCTGCTGTACCTATAGCAGAAACACTGGCTTTGAGCCTTATAGAGGGCCTCAGGAAGGAGCACACTGCCAAGCCCTGTAACCCTGCAAAGTGCACCAGAATAAAAATAATCAATCCAATTATGTTTTATATATGTGTGTGTGTACATCTATATACATACATACATACATATACATATATATATATCATTAATAAATGATATGCTTAAATGGTTTACAAGAATTAGGACACAAGAATCTGGGTGGAAAGATTTACCAATTTAGATTTGCCTGTTTAAAAAAAAAAAGACACCATAACTCCCACTCCTATCTTGTACTATTTATTTTAGACTGGGCAAAGTAGGGTTGGGAGGAAAGAAGTGCTTTTTTTAATTTTTTTTTTTGTTTGAATATATTTTTTCTGGTTCAAACTGCCATTTTGTGTGTTGGGACTAAACACTTTTCAATATAAAATTTACAAGCCAGCATAAAAAGAAAGAAGCCATTAGATCTGGCAACTGTGTGGCATATGAAGTGACAGTGAGGAGTTAAAAATGACAATGAAGACATGGATCTAATGCCTTATTCTAGCCTTTATTGTGCCCTCAACAGGCCATTCAGGCCCCATTTACCAATCACTCAAAGAGTTTATATTTTAATCTAGAGCCTTTAAATAAAAAGACAACAGACTTTATATTTGAACCCTAACATATGTAATTATATTTGAACTCTAGGTAATAAAGATATAGTATAGCTTATCAAGTAGGGGAGTGGCATATTTAGCCTTGGACCTCAGAATAAGCAATTTGGTAGTTGTAGAGATAAAGGATAGGAGGGGGAACAGATGGGTCTATAAGACCAATTAGGATGCTATTCTAATAGTTCAGACAATGAGTGATGAACTTGGGCAGTAGATGTGCAAATAGAGAGAAGGGGACTCATATGAGAGATATTGGGGAGGAAGAAGCCACTGGATCTGGCAACTGAGTGAACACATGGGGTGAGTTACAGGAGGAGGTTGTGAACTTGGGTACTGGTAGGATGGTGGTACCCTCAACAGAAAAAATGGAAGATCAGAAGAGGGGTGGGTTTAGGGGCTAGAACAGTGAGGGCAGTTTTAAAAATATTGAGTTTGAAATGTCTATGGGACATCAAATTCTAAATGATTAGCGGGCAGTTCATGATGTGGGGCTGGAGATCAGGAGAGAGACCAAGGCTAGAAATATAGATTTGGTAGTTGTCAGCTTGGACACAATCATTAAACATAAGGGAACTACTGAAGTATAGTAGAAAGAGAGCCAGCTGAAAAGCCCAGAAGATCAGAGTTCAAGTGCTGCCTCAGATACAAACTGGCTGTGTTACCTTAGATGAGTCTCTTAACCTCTCAGTTTCCCAGGCCAACTCTACATGAATAAAAGTTGCAGGTAAGAGGTAGCTCTTTATTGTTGGAGGGAACTCTCTATAATAATTGACTTACAGTTCTGGGAAAAATAAAGATATTATTATTATTATTATAATCATTATCATTGTTATTATTATTAGAGCTGTATGTCCTTGGTTCTAAATCTGGTCTACATTTCTTTAATCTTTTTAAAAATGTTTATTGTAACCCTAAATCTGGTTAATAAGCACTTTAGGCAATAATTTGAATGGTCACAGGGCAAGTTCCACTTTCCTCCCTTTTTGTTTTCTGTAAATTTCTCTTAATATACCCTTCTGTTTGTTTGAAAATGCTTTTACTTCCTGTTCTTCAGGCTGACCTGCCTCACCCTTTGAAGCCCTCCCATTCTGTGGAATAATTAGACTCCAAGCAGATGAAGCTTCAGTCCTCTGGAAGGCTAGCTGCACCAGCATCTACAAAGAAAGAGGGGCTGAGATAGATAAGCCCCCACATCTGTGAGGAGAACAGACAACATGTGGCCTGGAGAACAAGGTTGGTGGAGAGTGAAGGGCTGGAGGCATCCTGAGGGAGGGGAGAAACAGAGAGAGAGGATGAATCTGAGACTAAGTGAGCCACAAGAGGAATGAAAGGGACTCATAGGAGGGACCTCAGGGACAATCTAGGTCAATCTGTTCATTGTGAAAATGGGGAACCTAAGTCTCAGAGAAGAGAAGGGACTTATGCTGCATTAATAGTGGAGCCAGGATTTAGAGTAAGAGACAAAGAAACAGAAAGAGACCAAAGGAGGAACAGTTAATCAATTATTAAGCATTTATTAGGTACCTGCTATGTGCCAGGCACTGTGCTATGTGCTAGAAAGACAGAGATAATAATGAAACCATCCATGCTTGCAGGAGAAAGTGAGAAAAAGAGATAAGAAGATAGTACTACGGGGAGAGATACATAGGTTGTGAGCCTGGCATGACAACTATACAAGCAGAAAGATAGAGACAGAGACAAAAATGGGGTTGGGAGAAAAGGGGAGAATGGGAACAAGGGGGAGAGAGAGAACATTAGCAAAGACAGAAAAAAATGCAGCAAAGAAAGAAGACAAAAAGGAAGATGAGCAGGTAGCAAAAGGCTGAGAGAAAAATGGAAAAAAGAGAGAGACAGATGAATTTTGTTGGAATCAGATTAATCAGGGAATGAGAGAGATCACAAAGTTTGGGGAAATCAGATGGTCAGGGATTTTGGGTCACAGGCTTCAAGATTTTCAGGCAGGCATATGCTTCAGGGGGGCCACTGGGGCACCTAGCTGACCCACAGGCAGAGTATCAGTGCATTCTCTCTTCCATTTTTCTTTCTCCCCCTCACCCAGACCCACACCTTTAAAGTCTTTCTATGGGAGATTCACTTATGGGTGACTCTTCAGGGCTTTGTTGTTCTCCCCTTCATCCAAGAAAGTTATCTTTGGTCCTTTCTTGCTTGGTTGGGCTTGTCAGAGCAGGTTCATTTATTTCCTCTGATGTCATGTCCTCTTCTGCCCCTTCTGGGAAAGAAAGGAGGTCTGAAAAAAGAAATAAAATCTCTGTGTGTTTGGAGTTTGCCTGTATATAGGCATGCAATTCTTATCTCTAAGCCAGGACTTACATTTGTTGTTATGGGAGTGGAGCAAATTACAGGAGGGGAAGGGGGACAAATCATTACAGATGTTCCCCATTCCTCATCCTTACTTCATTTTTGGTGGTTTCCCAACCTTTTCAAGAATGAAGACTCCCATTTGGTTTCCAAAAACATCATCAAGCCCCACAATAGTAGTTGTGCTTTCAATATCTACTGATTAAGAAAATAACAGATAACATTGGGGATTAGAGCCTAGACGAAGAAGAAAAAGCAGCAATTCACCTGAGCTCTCCCCCAACCCCTCCAAACACCTTTAAATAATGCCCTAAAATAATTCCTGGAGTGGCAGAACCCACGGAAGGATGTGATGAAATAATTTTCCAACCAAAGACAACTTAAAGGGCCATGCCAGTACAGACCAGGCCCCAGCAAACCAGGAGCAGGCCTTAGGAGCCACTGGATCAGCAATGGCAGTGGCTGCCTCAAGAGCTCTCAATGCACAGAAGGTAAGGGGGTCGAACAACTGATCATAAAGAGATCACAGGGGTCTCTTTGCTGGCACTGGGGGCAGGACTCTATTGCTTTGCACATACTCATATCTGGATTATAGTCCTGGGTGGCAATCTCAGGGAAAGGAGAACCACTAGCACACCAGAGCTTGTGGTCAAAGTGGAGGGGGGACCCTTGCCACAGTTCTAGGGTAGAAAAGTGTGCTTGTGGTCTCTCACAGACCAGAGCACAGGCCAGGAGATTATCAAACACCTCTCAGATCACACTACCTTGGAAGAATTGAAAACTTCCAAGTCCCTAGAAGTATCTCTGTCAACAGCTGCACAAAACCCTTGAAGCTTTGGGACAGTGAACCCTCCACTCTGGAAGCAGAGCCTTATTTTAACAAAGAGTTAAAAGTCAAGAAATATACTGGAAAATGAGCAAACAAAAGGAAAAAAAATAATATGACCATAGAAAGTTACTATTATGACAAGGAAGATCAAAACACTCACTCAGAAGACAAAAAAGTGAAAGCTCCAACATCCAAAATCTCCAAGAAAAATATGAATTAGTGTTAGGCCATGAAGAAGCTCAAAAAAAGATTTTTAAAATCAGGTAAGAGAGGCAGAAGAAAAATTTGGAAGAGAAATGAGAGTGATGCAATAAAATCATGGGAAAAAAGTCACAGCTTGGTAAAAGAGACACACACACACACACACACACACACACACACACAAAAGTACTGAAGAAAATAACACTTAAAAAACAGAATAGGCCAAATTGTAAAAGAGGTACAAAAACCCAATGAAGAGAAAAATGCTTTGAAAAGCAGAACTGGATAAATGGAAAGAGAGGCACAAAAATTCATTGTAAGGAAAAAAAACTCCTTAAAAAGTAGAATTGGCCAAATGGAAAAGGAGTTTAAAGGCTCACTGAAGAAAATAATTCCTTAAAAATTAGAATGCAAAATGGAAGCTAATGACTTCATGAGAAATCAAGAAACGAGAAAATACAACCAAAAGAATGGAAAAACAGAAGATAATGTGTAATACCTCTTTGGAAAAAACAACTGACCTGGAAAATAGATTCAGGAGAGAGAATTTTTAAATTACTGGACTACCTGAAAACCATCATCAAAAAAAGAGCCTAGACATCATCTTTTAAGAAATTGTCAAGGAAAACTGCCCTGACATTCTAAAACCAGAAGGTAAAATAGAAATTGAAAAAAAAATCCACCTATCACCTCTTGAAAGTGATCCAAAATCAAAACTCCAAGAAATATCATAGCCAAATTCCAAAACTCCCAGGTCAAGGACAGAATATTGCAAGCAGCCAGAAAGAAACAATTCAAGTATCATGGCACCATAGTCAGGATAACACAAGATTTAGCAGCTTCTACATTATAGAATTGGAGGGCTTGGAATATGATATTCTGAAGGGCAAAGGAGCTAGGATTACAACCACAAATCACCTACTCAGCAAAACTGAGTACAATCCTTCAGGGGGAAAAATGGACATTCAGTGAAATAGAGTACTTTCAAACATTCTTGATGAAAAGACCAGAGCTGAATAGAAAATTTGACTTGCAAATACAAGAATCAAGAGAAAATTATAAGGGACTTAATAAGGTTAAACTGTACATGTAACTCATAAAAACTTTTTCTTTATTAGGCCAGGTAGAGGGAGTATATATTGACAGAGGGCACAGGTATGAGTTCAATATGAAGGGATAATATCTCAAAAAAAATTAAATTAAGGAGTAAGAAAGAGGAATGCACTGGGAGAAATGGTAAGGGAGGGGTAGAATGGGGTAAATTATCTCACACAAAAGAGGCAAGAAAAACCTTTTACAATGAAAGGGAAGGTTGGGGTGGGGGGAGTGAGTGAACCTTACTCTCATCAGAATTGGCTCAAAGAGGAAATAACATACACACTCAATTGGGTATAGAAATCTATCTTACTCTACAGGAAAGTAGGAGGGGAAAGGGATAAGAGAAAGGGGAGAAGGGTTATAGGAGGAAGGGCAGACCAGGGGAGGTAGTAGTCAGAAGCAAAACACTTTTGAGGAGGGACAGGGTGAAAGGAGAGAGAAAATAGAATAAATGGGGGTGGATGGGATGGAGGGAAACACAGCAATTGTAACTGTGGGGGGAAATTTGAAATAAGTTTCACTGATAAATGCCTCATTTCTCAAGTACATAGAGAACTGAGTCAAATTTATAAAAATAAGAGCCATTCCCCAATTGATAAATGATCAAAAGATATGAACAGGTTTCAGACGAAGTAATCAAAGCTATCTACAACCATATAAAAATACTATAAATCACTATTCATTGGAGAAATGCAAATTAAAACAATTTTGAGGTACTATCTCATATCTGTTAGATTGGATAATAGCACAAAAAAAGGAAAATGACAAATGTTGGAAGGGATGTGGGAAAAATGAGACATTAATGCACTGTTGGTGGAGTTGTAAACTGATTCAACCATTCTTCAGAGCAATTTGGAACTATACCCAAAGGGCTACAAAACCAGGCACACCCTTTGAACTGGACTACTAGTTCTGTGTCCAAAAAGAGATAAATAACAGAAAGGAAAAGGGCCAATATGTACAAAAATATTTATAACTGCTCTTTTCTTGTGGTAAAGAATTGGGAATTGAAGGGATGTCCATCAATTGGGGAATGGCCAAACAAATTGTGCTATGTGATTGTGATGAAATACTATTGTGCTATAAGAAATGATGAGCAGGATGCTCTCAGAAAAACCTGGAGAGACTTACATGAGTTGATGCAAAGTGAAATGTGCTGTGTACAAAGTAACAGTAATATTGTAAGATGATCAGCTGTGAATAACTTAATTATTCTCAGCAATACAATGATCCAAATCAACTCTGAATGACTTATGAAAAATGCTATCCATCCCCAGACAAAGAACAGATGGTGTCTGAAGAGAGATTGAAGCATACTTTTTTTACTTTCTTTATGTTCCTTGAGGCGTTTTTTTTGTTCTGTGTTTTCTTTCAAAACATGACTAATATGAAAATATGTTTTACATGACTACACATGTATAACCTATATTGATTTGCTTGCCTTTTCAATGAGGAGGGTGAGGAGAGAGGGAGGGAGGGAGAGACTTTGGAACTCAAAATTTAAAAACAAATGTTAAAAATTGTTTTTATATGTAATTGGAGAAAAATAAAATACTAAATGAAAAAATAAAAGCAAAGCTATATTTAGGGGAGGGGGAAAGAAAATACTTGTTGGCAAAAAGCTACAATGAATTCAGTGATACTGCCAAATGAACTTGTATCTTACTGATGATAACAACATTGACATATATTTGACAAATAGTAATACAATTGCTTACCGTTATTTGGACTGCAGAAGACTTGTATGTATATCTATTATACTGAGTCATATTGAGAGAGGAACAAG